AAAGATATCGCTAAAATTCCTAGTCATAATGATACAGATCAAGCTCTGAGAAAACATGTTGACTCTGAGTACAAAAAAACCTATCACGTCGTTTCGATGGGTCTGGCAGGAATGCAATTCTGATCAATGAAAGTGGTTTTTACTCACTTGTATTTACATCAAAATTAGAATCAGCTAAAAAATTCAAAGATTGGGTATTTTCGAAAGTACTTCCATCCATCAGAAAATATGGTCAGTTCATACTATTCGACAACCCAAATAACAGCATGTTTCAAATAGAGAATGAAACCGAGCTCCATTAGAAGGTTGTGCAGTATATCAGGAGATTCTATCCGGAGGCAATCCTCATTGTAGGACCTGCACTAGTGAGAATCAAGACACTTGTACCAAAAGAAATAACTCATGGGAAAAAAAAGGTTATATGAAAGGTCAACCTGATATTATCATCGTGAATAACCACAAAGAGTATAATGGTCTGTGCATCGAGTTTAAGAGCCCCACAAATGATTATAAAGTCTGTGAATCACAACTGGAGATGAAGAAAAGGTACAAGCAAAATGGTTATAAATTCATCATCAGCCATGATTATGACGAAATTATCATCTATCTCAATAGGTATATGAGGGGTGTCAGATTACACTGTAAATACTGCTCCAATGAATTCTGGTCAAAGGAAACATAGTATAAAGATTTAGCCAGGGCTAAAAGCGAGGCTCCCATTAATAAATTTATAATTTAAATCAAACAATAAACTTGTATTCCACAATTCAGTTAACTTTAGAGCACATTCGTGTGACTTTTCAGGGAAACGCTAAGTGATTTTACAAAAAATAATTTGCAAACAGCCCAAGAGTGAGCCAAATCTCACATCGAGTTGATAGCCTCATAAGTACACCCAAAAACTGGCAATCATCTTCGATCTCATTTATTAAGAGCCATAATGGTTCTTGATCACCGTAGATTAATTAGGCCTGGAAAAAAATTCCGGCCGAATTTTTTGAGTTCGACAAGTTTATTTTACAAAATCTTGCCAACAAATCTGGGTGCGTGTAAACCAACCTTTTATATCATTTATACATCACATCTGAGGTGAAACAGTACCATGAGGCATTGTTTTTATCATTCAGACCTCGGACAACAGAATGCAGTATTTCACAATATTGCGATACAAACTGCTATTCAGGACGATCGAAGCACGCGTGGGCTTTAGCCGTAAACCGTTAAAAAAATTTTCAAAATCATCTATACGGCCAGCCGGTTCTGACTTTTTCAGTGCTAGCAGTGGCGAGTGTTTGAATGAACATTAACAGAGTTACGCTCCAACATAATAAAGAATTTATTATGTTTATTTTTTTTTTTTTTAAACGGTTTAACGCGCGGCATTTTGAGTACAGGAAGACAAGTATTAAAGTGTCTCTAAAAATCCTGAGTCTTGGAGCTTAAAGCTGAAGTTTATGTTTTAAGCCGGCTTCCCGGTGTTTGCTTTTTTCAAAGACGAACTCGAGGCAAGAAAATCGCTCAAACCTTTCTTTTACAGCCAGAATTATAACTAAATATTCTTTGAAACGTTTTCTTTCTATTTGCGGCGAGAAAATGTCTAAAGGCTTTTTAAAGATCTGTAAGCTTATAACAAACCTGATACTCGGTCAGATCATTGTCTCAAATCTTACAAAATGCGTAAACAAAATAGCCGCTCGACGCTCGACTTCATTAAATTAGGAATAAAAAACAAACATCAAATACAATAATTATTTAGGCTTACCACTCGAGATACAGCTCCTAAAAGGTATCAAGTAAGGCCAGTATCGCTTCAGACTTTGCAACCCTCTTACGCATTAAGCAAGATGAAAACGAAAACGATCCCATCCGAAATCGGATTTCCGACTTTGACTCAACCAAACAAAACTAGCTATGAATAACAGAAGACTCCTGATAGCAGCTGAATTTCATTTTGTACATCCAGTGGAAAAAGAAAGTTAAAAACATCACAAGTTGACTCAAAACTCTGTCAGCTTCAGCTGTCAAAGTAAACAAGATTCAAGATGCTGCATAAATTTTCCGCATGAACTCACCTGTCAAATTTTGACCAATCAGAGCATAAAAATTGGACGTAGAGCGTGACCAACGCATGAACATGGCCAGAAAAGTCAAAAGGAACTGTCTTCCCTGCCTGTAGCAGCTGGCAGAATTTTCGCGTCCGAGGTCAGTTTGAAATCGAAATTTTAATTGTGCGGCACATAAACACAACACATTTCATATGAATTTTAAAAAAAATCAAACTTGAGCCTGCGATCAGTTGAAAACCAGTACCTTGTCAGCGGAAAACTTCAAAAAAAAAACACTTGACCTCGTTGGGTCGACACCGGAGCCCGCAATGCAGTCAAGTGATACTGGTCAGCGGATACCTTGTTTTGACAGCTGTCAATGGATCACAACATTGACGTGTGTCAGTTTTCCTTTGCCCCGATCCCAAACTAGCTAGAAAGTATGAGACTGAACATTGATCGCGATCTAGTAAAATAATTAACTGGTCAGCGGACAGCTTCCAAGTAAACCACGTCACCTCAATGAGTTGACACATGAGCCCGCAATATGGTCATGGGATACTGGTCAGTGGTTATCCTGTTTTGACAGCTGTCAATTGACCATATTGTGAATGTCCAATGTAAAAGATGTGGACGTAGCAAGACACACCTGAGACGCCCCTCCCTCCCTTTTGATAGTCTCCCCTACCCCACCCGTACAATCCGTAGACGCGTACGCTCGGTCAATCACGTGACAACCAAAGGAAAAGAGGTTGACCATAATCTATGGGTATGGGGCTCTGTCCCACGCGCGCTTCGCTTCATCTTAAAAGTTTCGACGAAAAATAATGGTACATTTAAACACATCCCAAACATATATAATATATAGTATGTTATAATATTAATGCAGCGTGGAAAAATAAACAGATGGCCCACGTCGATATTTGACTCAGGAAGAGAGACATGAAGCAGTTAAACAGCAAAAAAAAAAACAAACAAAAAAAACAGATATATGCTTGCTAAAGCTTGGTATTGCGAGATCTGCTCTAAAAGATATGCACTTGAAGGTAAGCATATGCAACTTAAACCACAAATGCACCATAAAAAGGCTCAAACATTGAAAGAAGCGATTAATATTTATAGAGAAGCATATCAAATCAATATTTAATTAATTTATTATTTAAAAGGTCCAAGTATTGGATTTCTTAAATAGGGGGATTTAAAGCGCGGTCAAATTTTATTTAAAAAGATATCGTTTTATAGTATATATAGTAGGGATGAAAAATATTGTCGAAACCAATAATAAGAACAATCGGAAAAAGCTTGTCCGAGAATTATTATCTGGAATCACGACCAGTGAGCTCCAACAATTAGTTAATATGAAAAACATCTATCCAGACACCAATTCCTACTCCAACAACATATAGAAGGAGGAAATATCCAAATGTTCCATTGTTGTTGAAGAACCACGTAAAAGCGTTAAACAGATGGTCAACGAATACGAAGATAGTATTATTATTCCACCTCCACAATTCGGAGATGATTACAAACCCATTCCTGCTCCTAGGACGAAAAAAATTCAACCAATTCCTGCTCCTAGAACTAAAAGACTACAACCAGTACCAGTTCCAAGAACCAAGATAAACCAGAAAAGGAGAGCCCTCATGATCAAGGGCTCTACCAAATCATAATTATGAAATATCATTGAAGACAAACAAAGATGCATTAGTCCAGTTACAGACTACGAGAGAGGCCATTGAGAGGCTCTTTGGAACCATCCTCAATGAGACAAAAGGATTCAAATTTGTTGAAACCATTAAAATCACCTTCGCCAAGAGAAAAAGGTTACAAAAAATATACATAAGCCAGCTTATTTTAACAGCAAAACACAAGCTATGATCAACAGTAATGAATTCCGCCAAGATTTACAACTCTTATATCCAACTACTACAAGAGCTTAGAAACTCTGCTAAAGGACTTATCAACCTCAAAAGTGATGACAGTGAGTGTTTCAGGTGGTACCATATCAGACATTTGAACCCACAAGGTAAAGATTAAAAAAGAATTAAAAAATCAGACAAGAGAATGGTTGAGCAACTAAACTACCAAGGTACTGAATTTCTCGTGGCTGTCAAACAGTACAACAAAACTGAAAAACAGAATAATATCAACAACAATATATTTGGATATGAAAACAAACAATTTTATCCAATCTATGTATCCAAAGAAACAAACCCAAACATATTAAACCTTCTATTAATAACAGAAGAGAAAAACCAACATTATGTTCTTATCAAAGACTTCATTAAGTTGATGTTTAATAAGACCAAACATAAAGAACAAAAATATTTCTGCATGCATTGTCTCCAATGTTTTAACAGTGAGATGTACTAAATATTCATAAAACCAATTGTATGGTTATCAATGGTGAAACAGCTATTAAAATGCCTGAAAAAGGTAAAAAATAAACTGAAATTCCAAAACTTCCACAAGCAACTACAAGTACCATTTGTGATCTATGCTGACTTTAAAGCTATTACTGAAAGAGTACAAGGTTGTCAGCCAAATAAGACCCAATCATATACTGAATCATACCAGAAACATACTGACTGTAGCTATGGTTATAAGTTTGTCTGCTGTTATGATAATCAATATACCATGCCAATAACGATTTACAGAGGTGAAAAAGCTGTATATAAGTTCAGTCTAAACTCATGCAGGAGATGTTGAAACAAGTTAATGATTGTAAAAAGATTGCTGCTACTAAATTCAATAAACCATTAGCTATGACTGATGATGAACAACAATTTCAGAAAGCAACTGAGTGTCATATTTGGGGCAAAGCATATACTGAAAAAGATATCCGTGTTAGGGATCATTGTCATGTTACAGGTAATTATAGAGGATCAGCGCATCAAGATTGTAATCTCAAACTGAGAATCAATGCCAAGGATCGAGTTAAAGATCGCAGTTATCTTCCATAATCGGAGAGGGTATGAGAGTCATTCCATCATGCAAGAGATTGGCGCTTTTACCAAGAATCACGCCTATACAGACACAAAAGGTCAAGAGCATCAAATAAATATTTATTGTATCCCCAACACTGAACAGGGAGAAGTATATGGCTTTCATGTTGGGCAAGCCTCTGGTCTTTCTCGACAGTTTCCAATTCATGAGTTCCAGTCTAGAAAAACTGGCTGCCAATCTTCCTGAGGATGCTTTCAAATACACATCCGGTGTATTCAAAGATGAGCAGTTGAGACTGGTGAAACAGAAAGGGGTCTACCCATATGATTATATGGACAGCGTTGATAGATTCAATGACAAACAACTACCATCAAAAGATATTTTCTATAGCATGCTGACTGAAGAAAATATATCCAATGATCAATATCAACATGCTCAGAATGTTTGGAATACTTTCCATCTCAGAAATATTACGATCTTACAGACCTAAGATCTGTTTCTTACCTCTGACATTCTTCTACTAGCAGATTTATTTGAGAACTTTAGGAAGACAAGTTTATGTTATAAATTGGATCCATGCCATTATTTCACTAGTCCCGGACTATCATGGGATGCTATGTTAAAGATGACTGACATACAACTAGAAATAATGACAGACATTGATATGTTTCAGTTTATTGAGAAAGGTATGCGTGGTGGTATCTTACATATTTCCAATAGATATGGTGAGGCCAATGATAAGTAAATGTCTATGACTCCAGCAGACCATCCAGGTATATCATGTATCTGGATGGCAATAACCTTTATGGTTGCGCTATGTCACAATGCCTACCAACAGGAGGATTCAAATGGATGAGCGAAAAGAAGATTCAAGAAATCAATCTAGTAACATACACCTGCAAAGATAGCAAAAAGGGTATGATCCTAGAAGTGGATCTTGAATATCCAAGCTCCTTGCATTAGCTGCATAATGACTATCCCCTTGCTGCAGAAAAAATTAGAGTAAGCAAAGATATGCTGTCACCATATTGTCAACCTATAATAGAAAAATATGGAACTAGTATTGGACAAGTCGCCAAGCTTATCCCTACTCTGAGCAACAAAGAAAAGTGTGTACTCCACTACAGAAAAAAAAAACTGAATAAGGTGCATCGCGTACTTGAATTCAATCAATCACCATGGCTAAAACAGTACATCGATTTCAATACACAGAAAAGAACTAATGCCCAGAATTCATTTGAAAAAGACTTCTTCAAACTGATGAATAACTCAGTGTTTGGTAAAACCATAATGAATATCAGAAAGAGGGTTGATGTGAGACTCGTGACTGATAATAAGTAATTATACAAATTGGCAGCTAAACCAATTTATGTCAATAGCAAAATATTAAATGAGAACTTAGTGGCAGTCCATAAGATAAAAGAAACACTGACCCTTGACCGGCCGGCATATGTGGGTATGTGTATTCTGCATGGATCTATCCAAGACGCTGATGTATGACTTCCACTATAATTATATAAAAAAGAAATACAGAAGCAAAGCTAAACTACTATTTACTGATACAGATTCACTAACGAATGAGATTGAGGCAAAAGATGTCTATAAAGATTTTTGGGCTGACAAAGATAAATTTGATAATAGTGATTACCCAGTAGACTCCATATACTTTGATAAAAGTAATTGGTAAATTCAAAGATGAAGCTGCTGATATACTAACCGCTGCGTTTGTTGGACTAAGAAGTAAAATGTATTCCTACATGAAGAACAATAACAAGAATGAAAAGACAGCCAAAGGCATTAGAAAGTATGTGATCATAAAGAATATGACACACCAAGATTAATAAACAAATATATCATAGGATGAAAACAATTCGAAGCATGTACCATCAGTTGGGTAGTTATGAACTTAATAAGATATCACTATCCTGCTTTGATGAGAAAAGATATATCCATGCTAATGGTCAAACTAGTTACGCGTATGGCCACTTTAAAATCTTAACTTAAGTAGTTCCAAGGTCAAGGTCGAACCATCGAGTTGGGGGTATATGGGTAAAAAATGAGAGACGCGCTCGTACCCCCAACTACTATACTACTTACGCAGATTATAACAGGCAATTTATATTAAAGTCAAATCTCTGACTGAGAAATTTTAATCAACATTGCACTGACGTCCCTGTCTGCGAAATATCCTGTCTTTCGAGTTAAGCATCTGCGTGATTTAAAGAAGAGGTATAGTATTCGAATTCAGCCATTCTATAAACACTAAGGTGCCCTTTCGACAACTGTAGATAGAGTTTTGATTTTGGGGCCAATTTTCAAGTTTTAAATTAGCGTTACAAGGTCAGTTTTAATATATTTAGTTAATAAAGTTATTGTAAAACCATTCGCCGACTTTACTTAATATCGTTCTCTACGGCTTACTTCTGCACACGCTGTCAAAACAAGGCATTAGAGAAAGCGATAATGAGGATCACTCATTTCTCGCCGTTATAGTGCAAAAGGTGCTTGA